GTGTGTGCGTGCGTGCGTGTGTGTGTGTGTGTGTGTGTGTGCGCGCGCGTGTGTATGCGTGCGTTCGTGCGTGCGTGTGTGTGTGTGTGTGTGTGTGTGTGTGTGTATTTCCTCTCAGCTACAGCGTAATCTCCATTTCCAAATAATTGATGACAGTCTGTTATAAACTCCCATTTCTGGAAAGGCCGGTCTCAAGCTGAACACACCCACGGGCTGAGACACACCCAAAATTTTTCCCTTTCTGAGCTCAGGTGTTTTTTTTTTTTCCCCTCCCCAAATGCTTCAAACTAAACTTGACTGAACTCGTATGAGAACTCTGGCGTGGAATGAACAACAGCAGCCAGGCCAGTGAACTTTGCTGCATTTTTCAGGGCTTGTGTTGCCGGGAAAGAAAGTGTACATCACAAAATTCCCGCGTAAAGACTCACGAGTGAAAGTTGAAGCTATTTCCCTGTGCCATGATAAGAATTGGTTTCGGAGGACAGAAGACAATGAGATTATTTGAGTCATGAATTTAAGGTCGCAAATGAGGGGGAAAAAAAGCTTCGATTGATGGGGAGTAAATATTTAACACAGTGTTTGCATGGCTCACCCCTGTTTTGCAAGCCGGTGAGGAATAATGACAGAGCGCAGTGACATTTGCTGCGCCCAACACAACACTTGCTTGACTCCTCCATGTTACAATTTGCACTGACTGTGACACCACCTTGTGAGACGGTGTGACCTCATTTCCAGACACTACTGTTGACATGATCTGCTGAGTAGACAAAAACTATATATTCAGTATAGAAAAAAAAATAAGAAGAAGAAGTGGACTGACGCCCTCTCATTTGTTATGAGCAAGCATGTCCTCATTTCATTGGACGAGCCCAAATGTCTCAGTCATGAAAAATCACCCTCTTTACAGGACCACTGATGAATGTGTTGTTTTCTGCGAGTCGGCAGCACGGTGAACTCGCAGTTAGCACGCTTGTAACATTTCTGTAGTTCAGAGTTTGAATCCTTGCGCGAGGCTGACATAAGTTTGGATTACGGCGGCACGTAAGAATGGTGGTTAGAGAAGTGGTTAGACCATCTGCCTCACAGTTGAAATGTGATGTATTTAAATCTCACTTTCTACTTTGAGGTTCAGTGAAAACACCGCTTGTATTTTTGATAAATCAGATTTCAATTCACACAATGACGAATATTTTTCTTTATGGCGCAGATGATTTACATATGTGCAAGGATCCACAGTATAGCAGCAACTACTGAGGAGGATATCCGATTTTTTTGGCCTATAAGTATCAGTGGCTGGATATCGGTAGCCTCCACAACTACCTGATACCACGAAATAAGGCCCGTATATAGTAGGCCTGATACCGATAACCTCAATAGTAATATCAGTAGTTGCCCATCCCTTCTTATATAGTTGCACAACATATTTAGGTACGAATGTATTCATTGCGTTTGGCTTTTTCCTTGGCTTTTTTTGCGTTATGTCTTTGCCAGTGTTGCAAAGTCGAAACATGTGACTATAACTATCTCTATCTATCCATATTCTAATCCCCGTATCTTCACAAAGGGGGCGTGCTGGAGCCTATCCCGCCTATCCCGGCTGTCTTCGGGCACAAGGCCGGGTACACCCTGAACTGGTTACTAGCCAATCGCAGAGCACACATAGACAAACAACCATTCGTGCTCACAATCACACCTATGAAAAATTTGGAGTGCCCAATCAACCTGCCGTGCATGTTTTTGGAATGTGGGAGGAAACCGGAGTACTGGGAGAAAACCCAAACAGTCTACGCGGAGAACATGCAAACACTACACAGGAAGGCCGGCGCGGGAATCGCCCGTAACTATAACTAGAGAAGTGAAAATGAGTCATTGCAACATAGTA